TTCTCCTCCATAGTTTATCTTCCATCGGCATTTCTAACATCCCTCTTCAGTGGTTTCAGTCCTACCTATCAGGTCGCACTCAGTTCATTACTATCAAATCCTCCCGCTCACAGCCCTCTTCTGTCTCTTCTGGTGTGTCCCAGGGCTCTGTCCTGGGGCCCCTCCTTTTCATTATATACATCCTTCCCCTTGGCAATATCTTCCACAGATTCAATATTCATTTTCACTGCTTCGCGGATGACACCCAGCTCTATATGTCCAGTAAGCCAAATTCTGCACTTCCTCCCTCCTCGCTCATCACCTGCCTTCAAGAAATAAAATCCTGGTTCAGTTCGAACTTCCTGAAATTAAATACAGACAAAACAGAACTTCTTTTGGGTGGTACAAAGAATACCCTCTCAAAATTTGACAGTTTCTCTCTCACTGTTGATAATACTTCAGTTTCCCCTCTCCCCAGGTCAAGAGTCTGGGCGTCATCCTAGACAGCACACTATCCTTCCAATCTCATATCAATAGCATCACACGGTCAGCTTATTTCCATCTCCGTAACATAAATCGTCTTCGCCCCTCCCTTGATGTCCACTCTACTTCTATTCTTGTCCATAGTCTGGTTACATCACGTATCGATTACTGAAACTCTCTTCTCTCAGGTCTCCCTCAGAAAACCCTCCGTAAGCTCCAGTTGGTTCAGAATGCAGCAGCACGCATCGTCACTAAAACTCCCATCTCTCATCACATCACCCCCATCCTCAAACAACTCCATTGGCTACCCGTGCACACCAGGATTAACTACAAGATTCTCCTTCTCACCTTCAAGGCCATCCATAACCTCGCCCCTCACTACCTCACAGATCTCGTTCACGTCGTCACCTCATCCCGTTCCCTCAGGTCCTCCTCCATTCATCTCTCTGTGCCCTCCTTCCATCTCAGCACCATGGGGAGTAGAGCCTTCAGCTGCAACGCTCCCAAACTCTGGAACTCCCTTCCCCCTCTCATCAAGAACATTAACTCATTCACAGAATTCAAAAAACAACTCAAAACTCACCTCTTCATGACCACATATCAGCTTTGAATTTTAGAGTTCCTTGTTTGTTGATGTATGTTTACTTACTGAATAATTTGTGTTTTTATTCTGTACAGTGTCCTTGAGTGACCAGAAAGGCACTTTTAAATAAAATATATTATTATTATTAAAAGGGAGATCTGCACCACAAAAAACGATGAACTCTAAACCAAAACGTAACAGCTTATCCAAACCGCAAGAAGCTGTTAGCAAAAATGCTAACAGTAGCTTTACCAACATTAAGGTCAAGTTACCAAGTTTAAATAAACCAAAAATACCCAGCAAACAGACCAGCACGGAGGGGAGACTGCTACCACCAAAACAGCTCTCCTAATGTCTGAAAGAAGCTCCGTTATGAAGGGAGAAACGCTCCCGGTGATTTTCTACATCTGCGGTAGAGACGGAGCAACGCATCTGACCCCTGAAGTTGTTGTCCGTTGCCGGGAGATGAAGGCGGGCAAAACAGGAAAGGAATCTAGTAGCGGACGGACATTGTTCCGGGTCTTCGGTATTTGGTGGAGATGTTAGTGAAGGCGGAGAAGAGGGCGAACTAAAGGAAATACAGGGAGATTCCTCCTCTATTTACAAAGTCCTGGGGATGCAACAAGTGGGCGTCGTGCGTTGACTACCGGATCTGACGTCGACGAATTTTTAAAATCAAGCCGTCGACGTCATCGAGGCTTCGCTACAGCCCTAACAAAGACCTGAACTTGGTGTCTTTTTCCTCACTTTCACTTTCTAAAGTCACAAAGCAGGCCTGAAAATCTGTGGGGCCAGTGCTGAAAAGTTTTTTTAAACCCAGGTGGCTTTTCTTTTCATTGTTCCTGAAATGTGTCACTGCTCATGGTTTGAACCTGATCGAGGGCATGTTTAGTTTCACTTCCTTCCTCTATTCCATTTCCTGATTTCCTGTTCATGTTGAGGCTCACGGCTGATCTGTGTGAGAGGCCCTCAGCAGCTGGTGGCTCCGCTGTAAACCTTCTCACTCTGAATCAACAGCTTTTAATCTTGTGTCATGGAAAACCACGCAACAGAGGGCTTAACAAGTTAGAGGACAAACTTTTAGATTTCCTTTTCACACTTTTGCTTTGGGTTACATTTACTATACTCTTCTCCTTCAATGCCAGCCTGATCATTTCAGGAAACAACGCAATCAAAGGACCGCCTGCTGCATGCATGCTGGATCACATGGTCTGTTTGCTGCACCAAGACAAGCAGTTCCTCTTAAAGTTAAACCCATGATTGTGTGACTTTTATTCTGTACGCCCAACAAAGAGCTGCACTTGGTGTGGTTGGCCTGCGTCTAGACTGTGTAATTAGCTCACAACAGCGTTGTAAAAGTCTGATCAAAGTGGGAGATTTTTTCAGTGTGAGCAGTTGCAGAAAAATTTGCCCAATTTCTCCAGTGAAACACAAACCATCTACAATGGTGTCCAGTCAACTGACTTAGGGCAGTCAGTGCTTTGGTCTTCAGAAGATAATTCCCTAGTTTCACAACGAAAATGCAAGTTTCTCATCTCTCAACAGAAGGCCACAACCCCCTTAAACACAATCAAGAATAAAAAGCAGCACATCCTGATTCCAGTATCACACGTGTGAACTCCAGAGTTTCACAACCATTGTAGTTTAATTAAGCAGCCCACCCCGGCGAAGCACACCAGCCCTTCGGGTCCCTTTATGTCCTCTGAGATGCTTCTGCTGAAGCCAGACAGACTCTTTGTAGCACTCCACCCTTTCACTGCCTTTGTCTTTCCATCTCATAAGTCCCACGGGTAAGTCCGCAGTAGCGTCCCTTGTGTCATTATTGGCCAATGATAAAGTAGCTGCCACTGCACCTCATCCATTATGCAAGACGAAGGGGAAGCAGCTCCACCCACAGTTATGTAAATGAATTTTCGGGGACATAGAGGGAGGGCAATTTGTCAGGGGGAGCGGGGTTCTTACACCCACTTTTCTCCTCACCCGCCCCCTAAAACGGCATGTTACAAACGGGAGTTGATATCAACATGCAGTGTTCGTATAAGGGGGGAAAGGTCAGTTGTTCAAGTTTCATAATAAATATTTAATATTTTTGAATGATACCCTGCCACTAAAAAAAGAAAGATGGTCAAAAATATATTTGTCAATGTCTGTGGGTTTCTATGGTGGCATGTGGTGGCACTGGAAAAGTTTCAGTTCAAGATGGCTGCCCTACCAACCAACCTCATTCAATAGTATAGAGATCAAACGTGATGTGGCAGAGACATTCAAAACAGACTACATGAAATATGTGCAAAGTGCTATAGATAAAATTAAAATTATAACAGCCTACTAGAGTCAGCTGCTGTAAAAAAGGTTTGAAAGAAACTTTAAACATCAAACATTGTGAGTATAAAATATTCATCTTATAGTAAAGTAATCAGAAACAGAGTACCACGGAGCCACCAGCATCAGTAGCAGTACCTGTGCATGAAACTTACAAATGCATTTTGTAAATCTATGCCGACACATATAGTGTCTTCCTTGGAGGGTCATTATGAGCACTCTCCACATGCAAGACATACATACTGACTATAGAAAACCCAGTCTAAGTATTGTTTTGTTGAGTGTCATTATGTTGTGCATTGCCAAGAGATCCACTTATGTCTATTTATTACCTTTAATATTGTCTCTTCTACATTTTACATTACCAGTAAGTGTGCTGATAGGATCATCTTACTGCCCCTAATTTAGATTGGATTGAAGTTTCTAAGCAAATATCTTTAGATGTTTGGTTTCTTGGTGACATATAAAGCCTCTATGCTATCTTAAATTCACCACTTACAGTGTGCAAGACTCAAATAGCAGCTACCCGATTATGGGTGAACAGTAATTGCAAATCATATTGACTGTGCCAAGTTGCTACTGAGTTTGGAGCAGGGTTTTTTTCCTAACAAAGCAAAACTTGATCATCTTCTTTATCACTGATCTACAGTCATGCCTTAATTAACCTAAATAACAGGATATCTAAAACAGTGTGTGGCATTTCACTGCTGATTTAATACTCCTACAGCAGTTCTGCAGACTTGGTAGGTGAGTGTTGACCCCACTGTGTTGTCATCAAGCCAAACAGCCAGATTCACGGTGATGAAGGAGAATATTAATCTGGTTCTGGATCAGGCTGTGCTGTTATTGAAACAGATGGTATCTGACAAACACGACCACATGGCCACATCTATCTATCTGCAGTCCCAAATTTGGGTTATCTTTTATTATATCTGCAAAAAAAATACATGTTTTATTTAATTTAAAAGCATTGCAAAAATACTTGATACGCTTTATAGTAGTCTACTAGTTAATTACTAATTAACAAAAGTTTTCAAATATATAAAAGAAACACTAAAATAAACTTGAAATTTTAACAACCTGAGAAGCATTATGTTTTGCATTATCATTTGTAACCTGCAGCTTTAAAACAGCACATAACTTGTCACAAGTACCCGCCAGATTCCATGCAGTTTTCCTCTACAATTTACTCCTCCGTCAACTTTCAGAAAAGTTCTCATCCCAGAAACAACACTTTTATGTTTGCCGCGACCGGACAGGGTATGTGTTATTTTCGGCTCATTATTTGATCGCAACAAGTAATCTAATTTATTTTAAAACAAAACTGAACAATTAAATGACCTCTTGGTTGTCTTTTATTTCTGCTCCTAATTACATGATGACAGCTTGGGTAAAAGTTGATGTATTATTGAAACCACTGCATAATTTGTGAGTTTTATTCAGCCGAATCTATAAAAGAACTGTTAAATTACAATTTAGTTGAGTTCTACTATTTTTGTGGTGTCAAACAGGTAGGAGCAATAAATGTTTTAAACAAGCAGAACTCCCTACGAGGTCTGGGTGAGCTGCCCATCGTGGCTCCTGTCTAGTTTAGACTAAAGAAGCAGGATCGCGGACATCAGAGACGGGTTACCTGTGACATTTGCGGTCTGAGGTTGATTTCCTTCAGGTTGATGCATTGGGGTTTCAGGTTGTTGAGCAGATGGCACAGGAGGACTCCATCCCGTAGGGTTTGAGCCAAGTCAAATACCTGCGCAGACTCCCAGGTCACCCGGTGGCTAGGTGGGAGCACCTTACAGTTTATCAGCCACAGCGCGCACTGCCTCCAGTGCTCCATCATCTCAGTCTCAGCCCGACTTGCGAGAGAAGTATCTTAAACGAAACTGATAATGGTTTGGTAGTACGGAGCGTTTTAAATCGTACCCATGCTATGTAAGCTGTAAACCCGAGAAGCACGGCTGCGCCGCGGCGGACCGCGCTAGTAGGGATGTGGGTGGCAGCTCCGCGAATAACGGTCCGGGGTTGTGAGGCTCTTCTCTGGCGGTGGATAGAGCGTCTCTCTCTCTCTCTCTCTCTCTCTCTCTCTCTCTCTCTCTCTCTCTCTCTCTCTCTCTCTCTCTCCCCTCCCCCCATCACCAGTTCCTCTCCTTCCGCTTGCCTCACGGTCTGGTAGAGCAGAAACAGAATCCACACTTTAACAAGACATATTTAATTTGGCTGCATATTTTTTTCAGCCAATTATTTTCTAATTTTGATAATTCTGTCTCATTAAATTTTATTAGTCAGTAGTTTTATGACAGCAAGAATAAATATTTACATATGACATAATCCAGTGTTGCACCGTTCTGCATAATCTACAAAGTAAATCAATAAAAAAATGTGGGTATTTGAAACCATTTGACACAGAAACAATTTAGTTCCTGCAGGTATGTACATATGAAATTGTTACACAGAGTGAGGAGTTTCCATACATCACAGATCTGCTTTTTAAAAGAGGTTTTGACGTTATGCAAGACTTCCTCACAGTGCATAAACGCAATGACTGTTTCAGTTTATTATGGTGCATTGTTAGTTTAGGAGAACTGTAGTAACAAGTTCTATACTGTCGAGGTGGTTTGATTTCAACCTAAAACAGAGATAGTTTTTCTTGATTTTTCTTCCAACAACTTTCTTCCATTTGAATGACAAAGGTGGAAACATACAAGGAGGCCAAACGTTACAAGAATGACACGAATACCACAACTCTTGTGTGTTGTGTAGAACATTCAGACAAATTGTACCTAAAACCTTCTTTACAATGAAAACACACCTAGTGCCGATTTGATAGCAAGCATGCTTGAGTGTATAATGAGAAGACTTTTGAAGGATGGTCTGGTGTCAAAGGGCAGCAAAGAAAGTCCCATTAGTTGTCACACACACAGGTGTGTGTGTGAAATTTGTTCTCCGCATTTGACCCATCCCCTGGGGGAGCGGTGAGCAGCAGACACAGCCGTGCTCGGGAACTATTTGGTGGTTTAACCCCTCCAATCCAACCCCTTAATGCTGATTGTCAAGCAGGGAGGTGTTGGGTCCCATTTTTTCTAAGTCTTTGGTATGACCCGACCAATCGAAGCCCTGATCTCCCAGTCTCAGGGCGGACACTCTACCACTAGGCCAATGAGAAAGAAGCTACTAGCCTTCAGGAAAGGAAGGCTGGAAGGATTATTCTCCTAGTGGTCCAATGGTTATTGGATCAATGAGGTTAATGCTGAGTCATTTTCTTTGATAAATCACCTTTCTCGTTATTTAAAGCATCTAAAAGAATGTTTGTCTTCAGAAGAACTGGTGAGCATCCTTAGACCATCTGTGTGTGGGGATGGAAAAGTAGCATGCTACCTGAATCTTGGGTTATTTTCTAGTCTTTATGTAAAGTCCAGACAGTGATTTATGGTACAGGCCTCATCAGATAAAATCATCTAATTCATGCTTTTAAAAGCTTCATAAATGCAAACAGTAAAATATAATAATTTGGATGCAAACCAAAGTTGCACATGCAGAGCAAGGTCATGACTGTGGAACCCTTTGCTTTCCATGACACAGTCAAGCAACTGTTAAGCAAGGCAATTAGGGTTTAAGTAACCAGCTCTAGTGGCCGTACAATGCAAAGAGTAAAGCCGAACACAAATTACTCAAGCAAGGACTTCTAGTTATCTTTTTTGTGTCCAACTAGAGGGAAATGAGAGGTAAAAAACAGAAAAGAATTATGAATGCAGATTAGTTTTATGATGCAGACAGAGGTGACAGTCTGGCAAAGCTGGAGGAGGAAACAAGCTGGTAATCACATTCACCCTCCTCTAAGAGGATGCTCTTGTGTGGAAATGATGAAATGTGCACCTTCTAGATTAACTTCCTTTTCACTAAGATCGAGGAGGGAACCCTTGATGACATAAATTAGACTCTTTACAAAGAATGCGTGCTGATGAATGCTGCTCAGAGCATTTACATACAAGCAAAAACCTCACACAAAGGCTAAGAAAACAGAGAATAGAAAGCATACTTCCTCATCCCTTCTTTTTTTAGCGACTATGTAGCTTTTCAGCAATAGACCTACTCTTCTGTTTTTGTTTAAAGATTTGTTTGAATGGAGAATGGTTGAGCAGCTCGGCTTTAGCCTTTTCTACAGCTTGCAAACTGGATGCCATGGCTAACATAGCATAAATGACGAGAGGTGGCCAACATCCGGATGCTGGCATGCATCTCTGCACCCTTCTCCTGTTTCAATTTCCTCTCCCAAACCGGACAGCTATGCAGTTTGATAATTATCAGCGTTCCTGTGAGTAATGCTTCACGTGGACTACCGAAACACATATACAGTCAAAAAGCATAACTGAGATGTAAACTGCAGTCACCTCACAATAGGAAATGAGCGAGTTATATCCGTTTTGATCAAATCTAGATAACCATGCACAATCTTACATGCTGTGCAGGATAAGCAGTCTGAGTGTGTTGTGAATCACTCACAGGGACCACAGCATCTAATTTTAGCTCAGAATTTGGTAAACTGACAAAGTTACAGCTGATTCTGTATTTGCTAAAATCATTTTGTAGTGGCAGTCATCTTTGCTTTGGTAACTCCAAACGTTAATCACCTTGAAGATTTTCTGCGTGTGCAATAAAATCTCTGCAGACGTGTGCAACAGATTTTACTGAGAAATGCACACACACACACACACACACACACACACACACACACACACACACACACACACACACACACACACAACAACAACAACAACAACTATAATTACTGGCAGTTAATAAATACTTGGAAAAGATGTGCAGACAGTTCTTTTTAAGCTGTATTTTCTCAATACTTAACTGAAACCTTTTTTTGCTGAGAAGAAAATAAAGATTTTATGGCATAATTTCATTTACATTAAAACACATCCTCAATTTCCCCAATAGTAAACAGCTGAGGACCCCATTAATGGCTAACCAAGTGGACGTCCAGGAAACAGCATGAAAACGCTGGGGCACATATGGCAGATGTGATCTGAGAGTCAGGGCTAAACTGGGTTTTTTTCTGTCACTGTCAGAACACATAACTGAGGTCAGGCATCACAAACCGTAATGTTTATTGAGTTATTGAAGATAGGCAGCACAAAAATAATAAAACACACCGAGAAATTTCATGTGGATAAAACTTCATGCATCATACTTTCTGTATAAATGCTGTATTCAAGACAAAATAGTTCAATATGGTACACAATATGGTGAATTCCATGATGTTTTCTTTAGAATTTCCTGCAGTTTGAGCTGATGCATTAGCTGGATGCAGTTTCCTTCAATTCAATATTTACCATGACTCAACCTTAAAACCTCACCAATCATAGCAAAAATAACCATTAATGTGTTGTTTTGCTGAAGCAACATTAGCCCATGTTGTGGTCTTTCATCGGCATCACCACTCTGATAACGTGTCTGACGACACGGTCATTATTCTGCAGAGAGAGGTGATTTTTTTGTGTACAAGGCAACTTTTTCATATTTTTTAATAATTTTCTTGACCCAGTATGTGCTAAAATTGCTCTTTACAGGGTTAATGAAATGCCACTTAGACCCCCACTGCACTCTGTGGCCAAAATAGCACAGTTGCAACTTCAGAGTGTCGGTCCGGTCCCCGTTGGATGCTGGAGTCTGCTTCCAGCATGTTTCCTGAATGTTTTAGATCATGAAAACAGCTGATTTGTTTGATTTAGTGAAGAACGGCTCCTGTAGAAAGAAACTATAATATTTTTACTAAAATATTATCTCATCAGCATTTGGGTGTTAAAAAGAGGAATGCACAGCGAGGAGATAAGTTTCACTTTTGGTTTTACTAACTGAACACTAGTGGGTGCTAAAAGCAAGCCAAAACTGAAAATTATCCCTTTAATCACAGAATCTGAATCATTCCTCAAAAATTGCAAAATGTAATCTCATATTTAAGTCACCAACCTACTGCTTTACCTTTGATTTAAAGGTTAGTTTTTTTTTTGTTTGTTTTGATTTGTTTGCATCTTGAAGAAAAGAGGAAGATATTTGTCGTAACGACAATAAAACCACACATCTTCCTTTTCCACATCCAGGTTGAGGCAGAGCTACTCAGAAATTCTAAGGAATTTTATCAGCCTTATTGTTAAAATTAAGACTCATTATTAAAAAAATATTTCTTTTATTGTTTGTAAAAACTATTCATAATCTCTCTGTAAACCTGTTTTAAATTTGCAAAAATAATTTTAAAAAATCCTGCTGTTGCTGTTTTAGAAGGCAAATTTTAAACCTGGTTGGTGATTAAACACAATGGTTATCTTGTATTAAAATAGATGTGGCAGTGTGAGCGTCCTGTCACAGTGTCCAGATTGATCATGCGCCCTGGCTACTTGGCCAAAGGGATGTCCCTTTGGCTGACTGGTAAGCATACATGACTTTCACTCGGGAGTCTGGGGATCAAATCCTTCCCAGGCCCTAGCCACATAAAGATAAAACAAATTCAATATTAGAAAATGAGAGTTAAAAGAACAAATTTAAAAGTGTGGATAACACCTCAAACATTGATGAACATAATACTTTTACGGAACAAGGATGTGTTCACCTAGTTAGATTTCTAAAAAGAAATGTCTTTATAACCTGTATAACTGCTGTTAAAAGGTGAACAGCAACAGATACATTTATGAGCTAATACAGCTGATGAGATTAGGCAAATTAATTGAAGAATTGTTGATGATGAGAAAAAGTTTTGTTTTTTAATTAAGCTGGTTCTAAGTTTTAATGATACCAGAAACAAGGAACATATTTTATTTGAAAGTTTTTTTGTTTGTTTGTTTGTTTTTTTGTTTGCATAAAGAACTACAGTCCCATTGTAGTAAACAAAGAGCAGGGGGCAGCTCAAAGGTCGGAGGTCATGAGCCTCACCACTTTGTGAACTTTGAGGCAGTTAATTGTTGTGTCCAGTATCACCATGTTTACTCTGATCCAATATTTGCAGGTTTAAATGTCCTCAGAAGAGGAAAAGTGACTGTTGGTTATTTTATGAAACAAC